GGGTCCAATTCTGAGATCTCTATTCTATTCCATTGGTCTATGTGTCTGTTTTTGTGCCAACATCATTGATTTTTCAAATAATAAACTAGTTTTGCATCCTTGAAATAAACCCTGCTTCATTATGACATATCATTATTTTTATATATTGCTGAATTCTATTTGCTAATATTTTGCTAAGGATTTTTGCTTTTATATTAATGAGGGTTATTAGTCCTTACTTTTAATTTTTGTACTACCTTTGTCTTGGTATCAGGGTAATATTAGCTGCATAAAACTAACTCAGAAATGTTTTCTCCTATTCTATTCTTTGTTGGAAAATATTGTGTATAATTGATGTTAGCTGTTAAATATCTGTATAGTTTTAAAATTATAAATTTAATTTCCTTAATAGTTCTAGTTAGTTCTATTGCAATTATTCTAATTATCTATATCATATAGGGTGAGCTGTAGCTTGTGTTTTTTAAGATTTGGTCCATTTTTCCTAAGTTATCAAACTTATTTGTGTAGATTATTGATCTGAGACATCTCCTCTCTCCTAATATAAGCATTTAGTGATATAAATTTTTCCCTCAGAACTGCATTGGCTATGTCCCACAGTTTGATATGTTGTTGCTTTTTTAAATATTCATTCAATTCAATGTATTTTTTTAAAGTTTCCTTGAGACATTCTCTTTGACTTATGGCTATAAATGCGTTGTTTACTTTCCAAATGGTTAGAAGCTTTCCTGTTATCTTTTTGCAATTGGTACCTAGTTTGATTCCAATATGGACTAAGACTACACTTTATATAATTTCAATTATTTTCAATGTGCTGTAGCTTGTGTTACTGCCCAGGATATAGTCTATGTCAGCAAAGTTCCATGAATTCTTGAAAAGAATGTATATTCTGCCAGTGTTGGGGCAGTTTTCAAGCCTGTGAGCTGACGGATGGTGGTGTTGAGTTCTTCTACATATGTGCTGATTTTCTGTCGGGTTGTTTTATCAATTATTGAGAGAAGGATACTGAACTCTCCAACTATAACTGTGGACTCCTTTATGTCTCTTTTCAGTTCTATCAGTTTTTGCTTCCCATATTTTGCTGTATTCTTTGGTGCATATACATTTAGAATTGGTAAGTCTTTTTGGTGAACTGACATTATGTAGTGTCCCTTCATGTATCTGGTAATTTATTTGCTTTAGGTTTAGCTCCCTTCACACCACCATGGTAGATAAAGTGTGGGCATTACCTCACTACTGCTAGATGTGTTTCTGATTTCCCTTTCAGTTACTATTGACTTCTGAGAGAGAAGGGCTCCTTATTACTGGTAGATGTTGGTGAGAATTCAGACTCATCACTAAGCATCCTTTGATGCCATCCTAGAAAAAGGAGTCCATCCTACTGCTCTGCACGTGACTCCAGAGAGTGGGAAAATGACTTCACTACTCCTGGATGGTGGTGAAAATCCTGATGCTTCACTAGGCTTCCCTGTCAATACCCCAATGTTGGAGGGCACTACTCATAGCATGATGATGGTGGAAGTCTAGACTTCCCTGTTGGCATTTGCAGGCATGGATGGGGGTGGGGCCATATTGTTGTTTTCCTGTGGTATGTAGCTAAAGCACAATTGTTATTTTCTAAAAGTTTTCTTTCTTGCTAGACTTTTCTATTCCAGACCCTTTAGCTAGGTAGAGCAGACTTTGGTTGTGGCTTTTTTGGTCTGTATCCACTTGTATTTCTTAGTTACCAGTTTCTTTAGTTCCAAGTCTGGGATATATGAGGCAAAAATAAAATACAAGGAATTCACCACTGTGTCATTTATTAGATTCTGAGATCCCTAGTCAGTCTACCTTCTTCTCTTATCTTTCAGCCTTCTTATATTTGTTTGTATGATTTTTATTCCTCCTATAGCAGGAGGAATAAGGAAAAACATATCTACTCCATCTTCTTGGGAGTGGAAGTCTCTTCTTACTGAAATTTTAATTGAACTCTTACCTCCCTCTATAAGCATCTGCATTTTAAAGAGATAGTTTGAAATCAGCTCCACTGACTGTATTACTTCACTATAAAATGATCTCTCTCTATATATTCTTAGATTTTAAAAAATACGAATCATCTTAACTGCAATCAAGAAAGATTACCCTGTTGTCTTTGGGAGGATTCTACTGGATCAGTGATGCATAATCACAGACAAGCCCTGAACCATGCATATACAGCATCTTCTAATCTAATATGGCAAATTCAGCCAATATGTAAGATGCATATTATTAGCTGGACTTTCAGAAAATGATTTGAAGAAGGGGATAAAAGAAAAACAGAAAAAATTTTAATCATGAAACTTATAATAGACTAAATTGTAGGTAGGGGAAAGTGCAACTTCTAGCAGCACCTTTGGGAAAGGTTTTGTGCCAATGCACAAAAGTTTCCTTGCTCACCTGCAGAGCAGAAAATTTCTAGTGTTTGAGGGGGCACTACTTTAAAATACATATCTTTGATGTCATTATACATTTGAACCAATTTTAATATAAGAAAATATTATTTATTTAACATCAAAAAGTAGCCCTGAGCATGCTAAGAAGCAAGTCAATGGTCCTAGACCTATTTCCACAATTTTTTTCTTTTAAAAATACTTTTCTAACTGTATAATTATTTTATTACAGCAGAGCATAGGGTTTTCAGTTAATATCTATGGAAGAATACTTGAAAGTTGAAAAAAATCTATCTTTTTAAGTTTTGAAAGAGCAATTACTATTTTATTATAAGAAAAGAATAGCTAAATTCTTCACACATATCTAAATGACTTTGTACCAAGTAGGAACTGAAAAAGCCATGACAAATTAATTGATGTGTGATTTGATTCTGACTGCCAACTGCCAACTTTCACTAGGCCTGTACCTCCAATATTGTGCTTTGGAATGACAGTATGGCCATGATAGAAGGAAGGGAAGAAGGGAAAAAAGGGGGGAGTAAGGAAGCAGGGGAAAAGGGTAGAATGACAGAAAGGCAAAAGGAAGGAAATAAGGAAGGCGTGAGGAAGGGAGGGAGGGAAGAAGGGAAAAAAAAGAGAATGAAAGAGAAAAAACAATTCAAATAATTAGCATTAGTAGGGAAAACTAATATTTTTCATGCATATACCTCATTGGTTCTACCTTAAGATACAAGGAAAATAAAAAGCACTGGATTTGTTTGTTTGTTTGTTTTGCCTTCTCCAATTTCATTTCCATTCATCTGGTAATAGTACCCCAGTTTTGCTTTAGAGATCTGTGCTTCCTAAAGGATGTGGTAAGCCCATTACCCAAGCTAGGTCAGTCAGTATGTATAATACAGAATGTTGAAAACTTTAATCAGACACAATAAAACAACAATATTTGTTTTTACCTAAAATTTTGTTCATTAGCCTCATTCAACTAAAATATAAAGTCTATAATCATCTTGAATAAAACCCATCTGAATCTGATTGAGTGATAACCATGGCCTTTCAAAATATCCACCAGTATTTGCTTGACAATGCTCAGGGTTCCACATGGATTTCATATCCATATGAATGTTTACTGCTTGAAAAATGACTTTCTCCTTGAAAAAATTCAACCAGACTGGTCAAGACAAATGTGCTCTTAAAACAGTTAAGGCAATTGGTCTGCCTTAAATGGCACAGGCTACAGTTTCACAAACCACTGTTAGAATTCTCTACTGGATAATTTAAATAGGTAGGCTGTTCATGAGACTTGCATATAATTTGCACTATGTTGCAGGGGAATGTTTGTGGTCTTCTGTAGGCTATTTTATAACATTTTCCAAAAACCTTCTAAGAAATCATATCCACAGAAGATATTACTTGAAGGTACTTGTATCAGCCTTTGATAGGTTACTTTGAAGGTAAATGTATCAGCCTTTGATTAAAGGGAAAAGCATTTCTATTGAAATACAGTAAAGAATAGAAAAACATATAACTTCTAATGGACTGAAGGCACATTCTACATTCACGCTGAAAACTGGATTATGTCAGCTTAAAAATTGGAACCAGGGTATACATTAGAGTTAAAACTTCTGGAAACTTCCATGGTTTTCTTTCAGAACTATGTTAACTGAGTATGATAATGTAAAAATTTGGGTTGAGGGAAAACATACTCAGTTATTAGGCATATAATTTCATATTAAGTATTTACTATGATTAGTACCTACTACAGCCTGAGGATTTTTAGCAATATCTCTAACAGTTAGATAAATGTGCCTTTGCATGGGACAAACTAACACATAGAAATTAATTAAATCAATGGTTTCTAACCCACCTTTGTTTGTACTCTGTCAGTATCACATATTGGTGCTTCTTCTCCGCATTAAGCAGAGCAATCACCTTAAAGCCCGTGAGATCCAGCCACTTTTTGGTCATCAAGGCAAATGTTTGCATCTGAAATGTCACTTCAAAGTGAAAAATGTGATTTGTGACATCTGTCACTACAAATACATTTCTAAATAGCTTTCTGATTCCTTACATAATGTAAGCAAAGTAGAAAATACATTTTCTATAAATCACCAGAATAAAGTGTGAATGAAATACAGTTTCAGGATAAAAGTACTTTTGGACCATACATATTCCAGTATAAAGCTCTCATGACTAGATGTTAAAGAACAGAATCAGAATCTAGGTTTCTGGAAAACTGTTCTACCTTAACACACTACCCCTTCAAAATAACTAATACATCAATAATACAGAAATAAAATCATAAAATACCTACACTCACTGAACTTAGAAAAGTGACAGTTTTAATTTCAGAGCTTACTTTTCCATTTAATTTTTATAATAAACACATACCATAGTTGCAAAAACTTTTGTAAATATGCCTGGGTGGTGTTTTATTGAATTGGATGTTCCATAGTTTAGAAAATGGTTTCTATTTTTGGTCTAATTTTAGAGTGAAATCCTCCAGACTTAAATATTTTACACTGATGCCTGAAAATAAAATCATTTTGTCTTTCATCTCTTGTGACTTTAGGAGTGCAGGATTCATTCTACTTACACTTTTTCAGGAAGAATCTTAAGAAAATCTCAATGGCAAAGCGCGAACAAGCAAAAGAACTGCCAATAATGGGAAAAGAGCTATCCTTATGATGTTGTAAGTCTCAGAGCCAAGGACTAAGTCTTGGATATTTTAGGATTGGTTCATCCAAATATCGGATGTGAAGAAGTCTTCAGGTTCACATTTTTCCTGGATTAGCCAGTCTTTGACTCTTTATCCTTATATAGAAATGGCTGGACTGGTCACATTTTAAAAAGAAATGAAGAAAAATTTTTTTCAGGCCAAATCAAATTTTATGTTTCTGTTTCTCCCAAATTATTTTCAGATGCAAGAAAAAGCAAACCACACAGAAGAACTGCACAGTGCAGTGAAGCTGGAATGCAAGTCTTCATCAGAAGGGAGGGAACAAACTGGATAATTTAACCACAAAATATGTGAACCACAAACAAGTGTAAACACACAGGTAGACACAACACACGTACACACACACACGCGCACACACACTAACACAGGTCTGCCCTTTTCCTGGGAATTTTCATCAGTGTAGTTTTTTAAAGAAAGCTAATTAACATCCCAGTAAAAGTATATAAAAATTTCATATTTTCCTCCACGTTTAAATGCTTGGCTTTACAAATATTGTGAATATTCAAAAAACAAAGCAAAAGAAAGCCCAAAAATAATATAAAATACAAGCCACGGAATTCAGGTTTTTATGATCTGACCATATACAGCTGATTAACATAAAAAATAAGTTACTATGCCTCAAGTCTTCCTCTAGGATCCAGGCTCTGAATTTTTTCCTAAAATATAGGTATTTTTTAGCATTCATTGTCTTTTCCCCCCTCTACAATTTAGGCTCATTTGTGTAGAAGACAGAAAATTTCTCCCAAATAAAGTAGGGATAAAAACACCCATCAGGTTGCCTTGTTCTTGGCTGCAAACAAGTTAAAACTAGGCAATTAAAGTATAGTGGCCTGATATCAAATTGTAGTTTCTCTGCTGGTTGCCATTAATTTTTAAAAATTGGTAGTTATGCATAAATTATAGATATTTAACAATATTTTGACTTTCTAATTTTCTCAGATAACTAACATTTTCATTGGGCAATGAAATCTCTTTCAGGCATCTTTATAGTAAAATGAGAAATGTTCAATGAATTCCAAATCCTTAGGGAAAATAGTGACATCTTACACTTATGACTTTGTAGTTAGTTTTCAAAGGTTTTGTAAGATTATATAATTGATTCCATTCATTTCTTCTTTATTCCTTCATTGTCTTATACGCGCCAGGTATGGGATTAGATCAGGGATTTCTACATTCATATCATAGCACATATCCATAAAGAGCTTTCATTTGTCTGCAGGTAAGCAGGTAATTTAAAAGATGACTGGGTACTTTTATTTTTGAAAATATGGTAGGATAGTTGTCCAGAAAAACTCTTTCAGAAAATAATACCTAAAACTACCGAATAAGTGTTTGTAAAATAATATATTTTTGTATTACTTGTCTAAACTGATGAGAAAGACAAGGGAATCTTGATGGGTAGATAGTAAGAGGTTAGTAGATTAGTTCCAAAATCATTGTTCGCCTTGAGGGCATCTGCCATACTTGGTGACCCACACCTGCATGGGCAAAGTAGAGACAAAGTCTGGAGTCTATGCAAGGGGAGATATCAGAGAAAAAAAATCCAAACCAACAGCCTGAAAATGGTAACATCTCAGTAAATGAACTAGGAAAGAGTAGTCTCAGAAGGAGATTAAAGCCATACAAACAACTGTGAATGAGAATCACCAAAATAATCAAACTCAAAATATTGTAGCTTTTGAAAAGACATGCACAGACTATGAAACGAATATCAGCCACATCTTTCAAGAAGCAAGACATCAAGATGATCAAGAACAAGAAATTTTTCAAAAGTCACTAGATGCACGTGAAAAAAAAGAACCAAATAATGAATCTAAAAATAAAGGCATTAGGCAGAATATAGTACTGAGACAGAGTTTAAAAATATGAACTAGAGTTAAGCAAAACAGAAGATAGAGAAGGTGATTGATGTTTCAGGTGGAGAAAGAGAGATAGAGATAGAGAGACAGAGAAGAGAGAAAGAATGTAAACAAGGAAACATTCAAATTGTTAATGATTTGGAATTTTCAACTATCACTGATAGATATCAACTTTTAGCTTTAGGAAGTCCAAATATAAAAAACACATCTAGATATATTGTCAAGCATAACACCAAAGACAAAAAGAAGATCCTAAAAGAGAAACAAGATAAAATAATTTCAAATAAAAATTAAACCAAAGCAGACTTCTCAATAATAACACTGGAAGCCAAAATATCTTCAAAGCTCTGAAATTAAAGAAATGTCAGCTTAGAATTTTATACTCAGTAGAACTATCTTTTGGGAATAAGGATGAAATGAAAACATGTTTCATATTCCAAAGAAAAAATATTTGAAATATAGAATACTGGAATTTGAGACATAATCTAAATTATAAAAATAATCTCCTGCATTTTGTTCTGCTTTATAATTTACAATATATTCTCTCACTTCTTTTCCCACTTGAGCTATATAGTAATGCAGTGATACTCTTGCCCCAAATAAGAAGTTATGTCTTCCTAAAGTTGGAAAACAAGTGTTTAAAATGACAAAAATAATATGTAATCAATCCAGCTGACTTGGAAAGCACTGAAAAACATGTAAAATCATCCAGTATCTCATTCCTCAAAGATAACCACTATTAGTTAATATTTTGTTCCAAAATCTTCCTATAATTTTCCACACAGATGTCTTTTTATAGTGCATTTTCCGTTGAAAATAGATTATAAGCATATTACTATGCCAATCATTTTTTCCCTATGACACTTTTATTTTTTTAATGATAGATAGCCTTTATCACATGAATCTTGCTTAATCATTGAAACACTACTTAGCTACTGTGATAGTTTAGATTATTAAACAGCAAATATTTGCTTTTCTCCCCCTGATTGCAGATGACTTTCTAACACTGTTGATGTCAGGCTTGGCCATGCAATTTATTTTGGCCAATGGAAATTAACGAGTTTTATGCAGAGATGATAATTGTGCTTGCCCAAATTGGTTTGGCTCTAATGCCTTGATGACTCACTGTAGATAGACGCTGGTTCTCTCAGCTTGGGCCCCCAAATAAGCACATCTGGAACAGATTTGAACCCAAACTGGACCTTGGAGCCAAATACAGTCACCAGAGAGCAGCCCAGTCAAGCCTCGTCTAAATCAGCCAATCACAGTTGATCTGCAGACACATGAGCATTAGAATAAATGCTTGCTATTGCAGATAGCTGAGTTTGGAGACGCTTTTTTACATGCATTACTGTGTCAACATCTGATGAATACAACTGGAAGTGAATACAATACAACTGATTGCTGAGGCTATGGCTTATAGTACTATGTTGAACAGCAGTGGTGAGATTTTTTTTTTTTATGGTTTTGCTATTACAAATAGTGCTTCAATGAACATGTCACAGTAGCTTTTTTATAAAGTATAATTATTCCCTTTTCACAGAGGAAGAATCTAAGGTTTGGTTTAAGTTTATACCAATGGTACACAGCTATTAAGTAGCAAAAATATAATATGAATTTGGGTCTGCCTGATGCTAAAATCCATGTCCTTTATAAGATACTACATTGCCTGTCATGGAAATATGTTTACTCTTTTGGGTAAATATATATTAAATTAAGTCTGGTGTTTTATAACAGCATAGAATAGCTTTGACTGGCAATATAAATATTAACTGACTTTTGTCTCATTTCATTTAAAATTAAATATTGCACTGACTTGTCACCTGAAACACTGAAGTCTCTATATCTATCATTTAAAGCAACATTAATTTGATACAATGTTATTTTATTTTATTTCTTATTTTTTAATTTTTTATTTTTTTTCTTAAAGCAGACATTAAATCAGACAATACTAATAATTACCAAAAAATCTGTAAGGAAATTGTAGGTTCAATATGAGAGTGAGTACCTTGCTAAAACTTTCACTTCTTGGTTCTCTTCTTTAAAATAGGCAGTGTTGGGGCGCCTGGGTGGCTTAGTCGGTTAAGCGTCCGACTTTCGCTTAGGTCATGATATATATATATATATATATATATGACATCTTCTTTATCCATTCATCAGTTGATGGACATTTGGGCTCTTCCCATATTTTGGCTATTATTGATAGCGCTGCTATAAACATTGGGCTACAAGTGCCCCTTAAAATCAGCATTTTTGTATCCTTTGGATAAATACCTAGTAGTACAATTGCTGGGTCATAGGGAAGTTCTATTTTTAACTTTTTGAGGAATCTCCATACTGGTTTGCAGAGTGGCTGCCCCAGTTTGTGTCCACTCTCACCACTGCTGTTCAACACAGTACTGTAATAACTTCAGCAATCAGACAACATAAATAAAAGGCATACAAGTTGGCAAGGAAGAAGTCAAATTTTCAGTCTTCACAGATGACATGATACTCTACATGGAAAACCTGAAAGACTCCACCAAAAAACTGCTAGAACTGATACATGAATTCAGGATATAACATCAATGTACAGAAATCGGTTGCATTTCTATACATCAATAATGAAGCAACAGAAAGAGAAATCAAGAAATTGATCCCGTTTACAATTGCACCAAAACCCACAAGATACCTGGGAATAAACCTCTCCAAAGAAGTAAAAGATCTGTATGCTGAAAACTACAGAAAGCTTATGAAAGAAATTGAAGAAGACACAAAAAATGAAAAAAAAAAACAAAACATTCCATGGTCATGGATTGTAAGAACAAATATTGTTGAAATGTCTATACTACCCAAAGCAATCTACACATTCAATGCAATCCCTGTCAAAATAACACCAGCATTCTTCAAAAAGCAGGAACAAACAATCCTAAGATTTGTATGGAGCCACAAAAGACTCCGAATAGCCAAAGTAATTTTGAAAAAGAAAACCAAAGCTGGAGGCATCACAATTCAGGACTTGAAGCTGTATTTCAAAGCTGTAATCATCAAGATAGTATGGTACAGGTGCAAAAACAGACACATAGTTTAATGGAGCACAATAGAGAACCCAGAAATGGACCCACAAATGTATGGCCAACTAATCTTCATCAAAGCAGGAAAGAATATCCAATGGGAGTAAAACAATCTCTTCAGCAAATGGTGCTGGAAAAACTGGACAGCGACATGCAGAAGAATGAAACTGAACCACTTTCTTACACTGTACACAAAAGTAAATTCAAAATGGATGAAAAACCTAAATGTGAGTCAGGAAACCATAAAAATTTTACAGGAGAAAACAGGCAGCAACCTTTTTGACCTCAGCCGCAGTTGCTTCTTACTAGACATGTCTCTGAAGGCAAGGAAACAAGAGCAAAAATGAACCATTGGGGTCTTATCCAGATAAAAAATGTATGCACAGTGAAGAAAACAATCAACAAAGATAACCGATGGAATGGGAGCAGATATTTCCAAATTACATATCAAATAAAGGGTTAGTATCCAAAATCTATAAAGAACTTATCAAACTCATTGCTTAAAATAATCCAGTGAAGAAATGAGCAGAAGACATGAATAGATACTTTTCCAAAGAAGACTTCCAGATGGCTAACAGACACTTGAAAAGATGTTCAACATCACTCATCATCATAGAAATACAAATCAAAACCACAAAGAGATACCACATCACACCTGTCAGAATTGCCAAAATTAACAATTCAGGAAACAAGATGTGTTGGTGACAATGTGGAAAAGGGGAAACCCTCTTACACTGTTGGTGGGAATGCAAAATGGTAAAATAATCATTGTGTTCTTAGTATCACTGAAGGTTTATTCATATTTTCACAAACATACACAGTGAGATAATACTTGAAAGAATATGACAGTGCTTTAATAGTTAAAACTTTTGATTAGGAATCAGTAATATTCACCTAATTCATGTGGCACAGGGTCATAAGGGAGTAGTATATATCTTGTGAACAAGCAGACATACAAATTAGTAGCTGCCCAAAGAACCCCACGGTCCGTTTGTGTTTGCTAAGTTAAACAAGTCTGATATTGAAAGGGTCCATTCAGAACTAAGGGTATGTCTATAAATCAAGAGAATATCATTCATTTATTTATGTTCAGCGAATATCTAACTCGGTATCATGAGCTCAATAAGTAAAATGAATTTAGTTAGAATAATTTCAACAGGCCAAAAAAGCATTTCCTTGTAAGCTCTCTGTACAGAGATACAGATCTTTTAAACTTGGAGATCTAGTGATATTATTGCCAAAGGGAGAGATGATGGCACTGGGGAACAGCCTGCAAATTCAACCATTATTGTATATGGCCCTCTTGTTACCTGACTACAAATATGCACTGACTACAAATATTTTGATTAGTTGGGTTCAGTCACAAAAAGAGAAGTCGAGTTATCTAAGTGAAAAATACAGATCAGCTTTGTCTTTCACAAGCAAAGCTGCCTAAAATAAAAGCTAACAGTTTGTTTCCAAAATGTAACATGTATTGAAATGTACACCCCAAATCTTTGAGTGTGTACCCAAATAATGATGACTTGAGAAGGAATGGAATGTGGAGAGACATGAAAACAAAGTCCTGAAGGCTAGGAGAGGACGAAGTTATTGGTTAAATCTTTCAGAGAAACTTAATCATATCTTTTCAGTTGTCTTAAAGGAGAATTACAGAAAGAAGTGATACTCAGCTGAGGTAGGAGTGGAAAATCAGAATAAAGGTACGATGGAAAGAAACAAGCCTAGTTTAGAAACCATGTAGAATCTTGAGAGTTATGAGAGCTAATATAGGAAAAGTAGGTTGAATGTCCATGATGTATGATTCTATATATATATATCTACATATGAGTATGAATATGTATGTGTGCATGTATCTGTACCTATATCTACTAAGCTGAAAGTGTATCTTGCCATATAATGCTTAAAATATTATAATCATGAAGTCTTATGCATGCATGTGTAAGAATTTTCTGAACTTTTTTCCAGAGCAAGACTGTACTCATGCCTTATGCATGCCAATGCTATGACAGGATGACAGGGCATTAATTGGCACCAGTGAAACCAGACATTGGTGTCTTAGCATTCAGACTCTTTATGCAAACATTTTCCATTAAAGAGTTCAGTTCAAGAGAATCTCCTCCATATTAGCTTTATTTACTCTAATTAGTTAGAGGCATGTGGGGCCAGTATGGGGCTTGCAGACATACCCAAATCCTCCTGAAAAAAGCTCATGCAAAGGGTGTAGACCTGGGTGATGACCAACTATTTCTCAGGCCTTGGGAACTGCTTAAAAATCATTGTTTACTCACTGAGCATCCAAGACCATGGATGTCTGTGGCATTTCCCATCACCCCAGGGATTCTCAGATCTTCTTGGTCCATGAGTTGGCCATAAAATGATGTCATAATGAATGCATGGATGATGCATTGTCAGCTAGTGCTCAACAAAGATAGGCAAAATCAGCCCTGTCAAATGCTTCCCTGCATTCCCAGAATCATTTCTGCAGAGTCTCTATCAGCCAGATGTGAACTTAATCCACTGTAGTCAGCTAACTTTGGGATGACTCCACTCCCACATTGCTGACCATAATTATTTCCTGCTGTAGGGATGCTACTCTCACTGCATGTGAATCTTTCATTGGCTTTCCTATATTGGCTGCCATGTCAGGTTATAAAATAGTATATTTTACAAGTATAAAGATCTCTATAAATGTAAGGTGTTAATTAGTGTCCCCCAAATCCTTGCTTTACTGGTGTTTGTCTAGAGAAAGATTTCTTTTCAGGATTTATAAAATGGTATTTAAAGTTTCTGTAATAAGCCAACGAAGCTGGTTCCCATGGACAATCTAATTTAGCTATAACCACTTGAGTAACCACATCCTACTTCATTTAGCACATACATGGAGGGCAAAGAAGGGTCCATTCCTAGCAACAATAAGCACATGGTGCCCACCTTCCTATCCTTTTTGGATACCACTCCCATTCCTCCTTCCTCAACAATCAAATAGTATGGGAGTATATAACAGAGGCTTCT